AGCTATGGCCTCTCCATTTAAGTCTGGATCAAAATTCTCGCTTCGAATTGTGGGGAGGCCAACTTCTAGTGGGATTACTGCTTCCATTCCGTAGGCTAAGGAGAATGGTGTTTCTCCTGTTGATCGCCGAGGTGTGGTGCGGTAAGCCCATAAAACATGAGGAAGTTCATCCGCCCACTTGCCTTTTGCCTTTTCTAGCCTTTTCTTTAGTCCATCCAAGACGACTTTATTTGATGCTTCTGCTTGGCCATTTGCTTGAGGATATGCTGGTGTAGAATTGTAGAACTCTATCTTGTACTCTTCACAAAAGCTTCTGAAGATTCTGCCGTCGAATTGAGTGCCATTGTCTGAGATTAGGGCCTTTGGTATGCCAAATCGAGTGATGACGTTTTTCCAGACGAACTTCTTTACATCTTTTTCCTTGATTGATGCCAATGCTTCTGCTTCAACCCACTTTGTGAAGTAGTCTGTTGCCGTGAGAAAGAACTTCCTGCCACCGGGTGCTGTTGGGAGTGGTCCTACGATGTCCAAACCCCACATTGCGAAAGGCCATGGGCTAGTCAATGGTAGGAGTTCTCTGGCTGGTTGATGTATTTGATGTGCGAATTTCTGGCATTTTTCACACTTCTTCTCATATTTCTCTGAGTCTGCCTGCATGTATGGCCACCAATAACCTTGCGAAATGGCCCTGTAAGCTAGCGACCTTCCCCCTTGATGGCTTCCGCATACTCCTTCGTGTATTTCAAACAAGAATGCTTTTACTTTGCTGGGATGAACGCACTTTAGGTAAGGCCCTGAGAATGACTTCTTGTATAATGCCAAAGATGGAGATAGCCAAAATCGCTGCAACTTTGCCCTTATTCTGTTGGCCTCTTTTTTCTCTTCTGGTAGGATGCCGTCTTTTAGGAACAGGATGATGGGATCTATCCAAGAAGGGCCTAGTTCTGTGCAACATACCTCTTCTGCTTCGGGGTCTTCTATGCTTGGTCTTGGTAAGTAGTCGATGAGTAATGGATGAGGGATGGATGTATCAGCCATTGAGGCAAAGCCTGCTAGTTCGTCCGCTCTGCTGTTCTCTTCCCTGCCAATTTGTTCTATCCTTACTACATCGAACTTTTTGATCTCTGTTCTGACCAGCTCTTGATATTTGGCCATTCTGTCATCCTTTGCTTCGTAATCGCCAGATATTTGGTTTACCACCAGTTGTGAGTCGCTGTAAACCATTAGTTCGGTGGCCTTTATGTAGTGTGCTGACTTGAGTCCTGCGAGAAGCGCCTCATACTCCGCTTCATTGTTGGATGCTGGGAAGCCAAGGTTGATTGCTTGCTCTATAACCAGGCCGTCTGGGGAGATGAGGACTATGCCAAGTCCTGTACCATGCCGGTTGGATGCTCCATCCACAAAGAGCTTCCACATCTCTCCAACGAATAACTTCCAGCAAGTGGAGGGGTCAGATGATGTCGTGGGGTCAAGGATGGTGTTTTCTTCAAGGTCCATGTTTGCTGTCTGCCCTTCGTCCTCTGATTGAGCTGTTGGTGAGCTTTTGTTTGTCTCTTCCTTATTGTCCTTAGTATGGTCTGTCTTGGTGCTTGATTGACTACCCTCTACTAGGGGTTGCGCTATTCCGGCGTCAACTTCCGTCCCTAGTTCGGTTGTGTAGCTACCTTCTACTAGGGGTTGCGCTATTCCGGCGTCAA